AGAGCAAGACAGACACAGAAAAGTCCACTCTCCCCACTACTTTCATGAAAGAATTCTCACCAACATCACAATCTTCATTAAGACCACGGGCAATTATAGGCACAGAAGGAAAAATACGAAGGGTCTCCTTAATAACACACTCCAGATATTTAAGTTTCTTCAGGTCTTCTGAGGTAACAGGGCGATCGGAATTCCCTGATCAAAGTAAATACATGAAATAAAATAAATGAAAGAACGATTTGGACTTGGCAGATAAGACATCAAAAAAGAATATATTATATCAATACACTGAATGTTAAATACCAATAGCTAAAGTAAAATTCTTAACAGTATAGATAATCAAAATAAAATCAGACAATAATGCTAAGTAAAAAATCCAGATGCAAAAGGTCACATGTTGTATCATTAAATTTGGAGGAAGTACTCAGAGAAGATAAATCCATAGAGACAGAGTGTAAATGAGGTGCTGCCAGGGGTTGGAGAAAGAGAAAATGGGGAGTGGCTGATTAATGGTGCAGGGTTATCTTTTGGCTGCTGAAATGGGTTGGAATTAGAGGTGACAGTTGCATAACATTGTCAATGCATGAAAATATAAGTTTAAAACATTTAATTTTGAATTCTCAGAGCCTCCTCCAGAAGTGAATCTTCTCCTGGGTCAGATTCTTGGACTCTCCCATAGCCTGGCCCCCAAACGCCCTCCATTCCCACCTCACAAAGAAATCCAAATGGCTTCTTGTGCCGGAAGCTGTTCCATCCTTGCTGCTTGACACAGTTGCTGCAGGGAAGAAACATCTGCACAGCATATGTTTCAAGGGACCTGGCGTATATGGCATACTGTTCTTAATATGTTTGCTCCCCTTCGCGCTATGTGTTTTAACCAAGGTCACCTCTCCGAGAAAGGTTGTTTCCCCAGGTGGGGATTTTTCCCTGGAGTTAGGGATTAACAGGACTAAGGAAGGGAATAAAACCCCTTAACTAAGTGCCAGGAGGGTAATTAATCACTTTAACTACGAACAATCACGCTTAAGCTACATAACCTTTATTTAGGATAATCTCCTTCAGTTACTTCCTTGTAGCTTAACAGAACAATAGAGTAGTGACCTTGGAATGGAGATAACAAAAGCCCTAACCTTTGGATTAGAATGGATAGGATTAAAATCAACTGGTATAAATACAGATGTAACAGGAGAATAAAGACAGAACCTGACTGGAGAACCTGGCTGAGGAACCTGGCTAGAATCTGGCTAGAGAACCTGGCTAGGCTTCTGATCAACTGAACGCTGTCTCCGTGTCATTCCTTCTTCGCCGACTCCGTCCACACCTTTGGGAACCCCTGGACCTGCTGGGGTTGGACCCAAACATTCTTGGACCTGCCAATGGGAGTAACATACACAGCAGGAAGCAACTGAACATATTGAGAAAGCAAAAAAATGAGACAGACAAACTAAATGAACAAGCCAGTGAGAAGATTCTGAAAGCGGACATATAACAAATTCTGCCAAACATTGTTTTTCAGAAGAGGTAGGAACTGATGGCACAAATCCCAACTTTTCGAGCAACAACATTTGCAACCATCTCTATGCCTGCACTGCTTGGGGACACGCATGGAAAGGCACTGTGTTATTCAACCAGAGTTGAAGTACAGAATTGAAAAGTAATAAATCAGGTCACAGAACAGATTTTCATTTCGATGAAAACCCTTCCTTGGAAAATAATTGCACCCAAAGAAATTCATCTGAGTGCAAGCCATGATGCATTTTCAAAGTCCACAAAATATCTGGCAAGGATTTGATGAAATGTTCAAATCCAATGCAGGATAAAGCCAGCAGGAAGAGGCCGAGAAACAAAAATCTGTTTTATGGCCATTCTGATGCAGGTGCAGATAAGCTGGGAGAGATCATCGAAGGTGGTATTTGCCAAAATCCAATTCATTACTACTTGCTTCCTGATATGGAAGATGAAGATGGGGAAGGAGAAGAGAAGAAGATGATGATGGAGGGGGAGAGGGAGAGGATTGAAAGCTACCAACAAAGAAGCTGATGAAGATGAAGGAGACGGTGACTAAGGAACATTGATGGATTTCACCCTTGTTTTTAAAAGTTTCCTCCAGTCACTGGGAGCAAGTTACAGTCTGGGTTTTGTTTTGTTTTGTTTTGTTTTACTCTTAGACTCAGTCATCCTGCTCTTGAAGTCTTTTCTCTCCCTTACATCCTGGTTCTCAACTTATTTGGAGTAGAATAGAGTGGGAAAAGAATCTCTCATGCTTTCTCTTCCAAATTCACTTTTTTTTTTTACTCTTAAAAGTATTTTTATTTTTTCCATTGGTTTTTATTTATTTTTTTCTTTATTGATTAAGGTATTACATATGTGTTCCTATCCCCCCCTTTTCCCCCCTACGCCGCCACTCATGCCCTCAGCCCCTTGTGTCTGTGTCCATTGGTTAGGCTTATATGGATTCATACAAGTCAAAATTCACTTTTATCCCTTCCTGACTCAACAAACACTATATGGAATCAATGCCCCTGTGCTCCGTGGGAAAGAAAAACCTGCTTACTTTGCTCCGCTGGAGGCTGGAGGCTCAGCCCGCGCAGTAGTGCACAGAATTCCAGCTTTTTCCCTCCTTTCTCTGTACATTGAGCACACAGATTACACTGTGTCTCTGTGAATGTGGACAGTTAGCATTTACCAACATATACCTGTCTACTTTCTCTTATATGGAACATTTTTTAAACTTAAAAAAAAAAAAGAAATATAAGATTTTTGGGTTAGTTAAGTGGGCATTTTGACAAGTCTTCCCCTTTGGTATGTTTAATTGTGATGTTTAATGGACTCTCTTGCAGTTTAAGATGATACTTTTAAAATAAAATTCTGTTCTAATAATAGCTTGGGCCCTTCCACTCAATGGGAGAATAGCGGACTTACAGAATCTTATCTGGAACCATCATTCTCTATTGTAATTTTGTTCCTGTTTATTTAATCTTTTTTGTTTGTTTCACTAGAAAGAAAAAATAATGCTCAATTTTATTTTTTTCTGTTTTTTTTAAAAATATATTTTTATTGATTTTAGAGAGGAAGGGAGAGGGAGATAGAGATAGAAACATCAATGATGAGACAGAATCATTGATTGGCTGCCTCCTGCATGTCTCCTTACTAGGGATCAAGCCCTCAACCCAAGCATGTGCCCTTAACTGGAATTGAACCTGGGACCCTCCAGTCCGCAGGCCAACGCTCTATCCACTAAGCCAAACCAGCCAGGGGATAATGCTCAATTTTAAATATTAAAAGTGTACCAGTTGCTTGTTATAATGAAACTAAATTTACCTCAGTAAAAAAAAAAAAAAAGAAAAAGAGAGAAAGAAATGAATACTTACATCTCAATATCCAAAGATCAGTTGCTCAAAAAAGTTTTAGAACTAATACTGGGGATAGAAGAGAAGTGAGGCACAATTATCAAAAAGCATGAGAAGCAGCAGAAAAAAATTCTAGTAAAAACGATATCACTAATTATGTGAGAGCCAAAAGCATTTGTGACACCTGCATTGGGCTAGAAATTGTAAAAAACACCAACATGGGAACACATTCCAAAAGAACCTGGGTTTCTAGAACACCCAATTTACCCACCAGAGGCAATCTGAGAGAAATTCAACTTGATACAGGAAAAATGAAATGATGACAGAAACAGAGCCCAGAAGTTTAGATCATCTCCATTCTACAAAACAAAGTCTTCCCTCTTGGTATGAAAATCCAGTCCTCACACCATCTGGACATGAAATTACTTTTCCAACTTCACCTCTCAATGGGTTCTAACAAATGTTCTGAATTCCACCTGTCCTTTTTTTGATATATATATTTTATTGAGTTTTTACAGAGAGGAAGGGAGAGGGATAGAGAGTTAGAAATATCAATGAGAGAGAAACATCAATCAGCTGCCTCCTGCACACCCCCTGCTAGGGATGTGCCCGCAACCAAGGTACATGCCCTTGACAGGAATCGAACCTTGGACCCTTTAGTCCGCATGCCAAAGCTCTATCCACTGAGCCAAACCGGTTAGGGCGCCACCTGTCCTTTAATGCTTACTATTATCTTCCACCTTCTCCATTCTGCCATTGTGCAACTGGAGCCTCTCTTCATAGAATGTCTTCCACCTCCTCCTCTTTTCCTTTATTATTCCTTCCCCACTTTGCACTAGGAAAATCCATCAGATACCACTTTGTTGGTTGGCCAACCCAACCTTTACCTTTCTTTTCCCAGCCATGGGAAGCCATATGACATCTGAATAAACAACAAAATAAGTTGATGGCATAATGCAAAGTTCCTTTGTGGTAGGCTGATCATGTCCCATAAATATATCAGGTCCTAATCCCTAGAACCTTTAAATATTACTTTTTTGGGAAAAGGTGCTTTTGAAGATTTTATTAGGGATCTTAAAAGGGAGAGATGATCGTGATTATCCAGGTGGGCCATGAATGCCATCAAGAATGTCATGATAAGAGAGAGCAGAGGGAGATTTGACACACCACAGAAGAGAAGAAGGTCATGTGAAGATGGAGACAGAGATGTGAATGATGTGGCCATAAGCCAAGGTATGTTGGCAGTCACCAGAAGGAAGGGATTCTCCCCTCAGGCTTCCAAAAAGTGTAGCCCTGCCAACACATTGATTTAACTCAGAGATACTCATCTGGGCCTTCTGGTGTCCAAAACTGTAAGAGAATAAATTTCTATTGTGCTAAGCCACCCAGTTTGCAGAATCGGTGACAGCAGTCATAGGAGACTAATATTATCCTTCATCCCCTCCTACCCAGAATCGAACCTGGGACCCTTCAGTCCGCAGGCCGACGCTCTCTCCGCTGTGCCAAGCCCCTCTTCCCATTTCTTCTTGCCTTAAAGATAAACATGAGGCCCAGAACAACAATCAAGAAAACAAAATCCATGATGATAAAAATGACAGAGAGAAAAAAGAATAAGTCCAGGATTCTCACAACATCCCTACAGGCATCAGCCTAGGACCCCTTACCTACAGGTTACTGGTTGTACAAAAGAAATGTATGTCCCATCAGCTTAACCCACAGCAATCCTATATGGAACAGCTCTCCTTGACCCGCTAACCAGCTTCACCTCTCCTCTCTGCTCTCCGCTAGCCCCTTCCTCCTCATATCGCCCAAGCACACAGCCATGACTTGATACTTTCTACACAGTGTCTGCTTCACCTATGAAGAGTGAGGTCCTTGAGGACAGTGACATTTATCAGTGTAGCCCCCGGATCTAGGTCGGTGCAGTCACATGCCAAGCAATCAGCAAACACCCATAAACAAATGGATGAGGTCTTACAAAGGACCTTAGGCCTGGAAGGGGTATCATATGGCAGCCTTCCTGCTTATTACAGTGTCTTTAGAACAGGCCCGACTGCTCATTCTTAATGAGCAAGTTTGCCATTTGCTTTAGTGACTTGGGACCTTTCATGTAAGTAGTGAAGGGGTCATACATACCAAACACTTCGTCCAGTTCATTGTCTAATTTTTTCTGGACTTCTGGATAGCAACCCAGAAGGTACAAGGCCCAGTTTATTGCAGCTGCAGTTGTGTCATGGCCCTACAAATATAAGAGAAAAATCAACAACAAACAGCTTAGAAAGCAGAGTTCTATGGAGAAGGTTAGGGATGCTAGCTCTATTTTGAATTGTCTCTGGATTTGACAGCTGTGACGTGACCCCAGACAAGTTAATTTTATACAGTATGTTACCTCTGTGGGGAACAAACCAATGAAACAATCCCTTCAAAGGGGATGCCTCTGGGTACAGGGACATTCAATACCACAGAGTCACATACTTGGTGAGAGCGGCTGGGCTAACAGGAGGCATTCCGAGGGAACTCCGTGCGCTGGACTGTTTTTGAGGGAA